ACTCTGACAAGGATGCTGTGAAAAGCCTCTACATGCTGTCTAGCACTGTCTCCTCCAAGATACTGCGTGCCATCGCTCTCAAGGAAGGTTTCCACTTTGAGGTAACAGAGTCTTACGTTTAAGACTGTAATTTGTTACAAATGTGAAACACAGAATATACTAAATAAAACTCTAATGCACTGGATAAAGGGATGGGAAGATATATACTCATTGGGCTTTGTTTTGTTTTGTTTTTTACAACAAACAAATCTCTTTTGTTTGTTTGTTTTTAAACGTACAATTTAGAATAGTAATTTCTACCGATTAGGGGGTCATACACAGGTTTGATGACGTTGTGAAGTAACATTGGGTCATGGGAGTTGTTGTCTTCACCACCATTACCGTCATTGCAGTCAGCATTCCCCGGTTAGGATTCCTTCAGTGTTCATCAATTAGGAGGTTTTTACAGGGAACCGAATTATCTGCAGAGCTCTACTCCTCTTTAAACCAAACAGACCCAGTGATTAAAACCGGCAAACTGTTAAAAATCAGTGTTTCTCCGATGCTGTTCGGCAGTCTATGGACATCCCGGAGGGCCTGCCAGCCAAACTGCTGCTAACATTAGCTCAGCTTGTTTCTCTGATAACTTCAGATCCAGACACTGATGACTAAAATCCTTCATACAGTTAAAATATATAGTTAAAATGACCAAGATCTAAAAAGTTAAGCGTAAAAATGTGGCTTAAAACTGGAGGAAATTGCGACAGCTTCTGGCAGGCATCCACATTGGTGTCGCATGGGCAAAGGGTATATGACACCATTGATTTTTCTGGGTTTGAACATAGATGGAAACATTTGGGATAATCCAAATGTTATGTTATGTTTCCTGCTACAAGAAGACAGTTTCCAATAAAGGCTCATTAAATGCTTTCAGTAAGAGTACTTTAAGGGGAATGGGGAGAAAATGTGGCTAATGGATTTTAATGGTACAGTTAAATGCACTCTATTATTAGTAGGATGTTGCTGGAGCTAATTCAAACCACCCTTCACGCTCACTGTCACCACTGTTTGAACAGGAAACACTAACAGGGTTCAAGTGGATGGGAAACAGAGCCAGAGACCTTTTGGACCAGGGCAAGACTGTTCTGTTTGCCTTTGAGGAGGCCATAGGTATATATACACACACACACACACACACACACACACACACACACACACACACACAACATAATGTCATCCAGGGGCATAATCATAGGAATTCAGTTTTAATTAATTCTTTGGGGCATCACATTACAAGAGTTTGTTCACATAAGGATCTCCACGATGTCAGAAGCGAGTTAATTTGATCTACCTAAAAGTATTCATCTGATGCAAATTTATCTGGGATCAGTTAAAGGTCGAGGGCAACTTACAATTGGAAAGTTAACGAAATTGTTTCGCCAGCTCATAAGATCTAAACTGGAGTCAGGGCTGCTGGGAAACCTTGCTTGAATGAAAGTCAGTTCTGACCTCTGAGAACTACCTACCTGTATAAGAGCTGTATGATCTCTGTAAATGATGTTATTGTGATTAAATGGGAGGAGAATGTTAGCATAAGAAGAATATAATGCATAAAAAATGCTTTTAAATTCAAATGCAGAGTGGTGAACTTTCTTTAGAACAATAAATATGTTGTCTTCTTTTAGTATAATCAGTATAACCTTTAACAATTTCTCCTGTTTGCGCCATTATTGGTTCTCTTTTTTCCAAAGCCAAAAGCTAGCACTCTTCTTCTTCCTTCAGAAGCTTCCTTTATTGCCTCCTTCAGCAGCCTGACGAAGCATATAGCAGCAATTGTCTGCTGAAGTGTATTTACACTAGTGTTCTAACCATGTTATGTTGTCTTGGTTACTTATTAAATTAATACATCAATCATTTAAATTAGAGAAAGCATGAAAATGTCAGACGGGTCAACTGAGGACCTTGGTTTTAGTTATTTTAAGTTTTTGACATTTGTGGTTAATATGACAGAAGTTCACATAGTTTAGAGCATTCCCATATAACAAGATTATGATGCTGTAATTGTAATCTCATGCCTTTGCACGTACTGTTAGTAAAAGAAGCAAGTGACTACAGCAGTGGAATTTACGCATACTCGGTATTAACTGAAAGTGTGTGTGTGTGTGTGTGTGTGTGTTTATGTTGCAGGGTATATGTGTAGTCCCTCTGTATTGGACAAGGATGGAGTGAGTGCTGCAGCCATAGCAGGAGAGATGATTTCCTATCTGGCCACGAAAAAAACAATCCTTTCTCAACAACTCACCGCCATCTATGATGAGTAAGACATACATATATATATATATATATATATATATATATATATACACATTACACTCTATATAAACTGAAACTGCAGACTCTAAGTCTCTCTCTGATCCTCATTGGCAGGTATGGCTACCATATCAGTAAGAACTCCTATTTCATCTGCCATGACCAGGATGTGATCCGCAGCTTGTTCGAGCGCCTGCGCAACTACAGTGGTCAGAAGGACTCATATCCCACTGAATGTGGTCGCTTCTCCATCTCTGCTGTACGAGACTTGACCACCGGCTACGACAGCAACCAGCCCAATAACAAGGCTGTAAGTGCACGCATGGACTCAAGTACAATTCTGGGCCCAACAAACCTTTGGCATTTGCTTTGTTGTTTGTCAATTGATGTAACTGTTTTAACCCATAACTATGAAAATAACATAGTTTGAGACTTGATGTTGTCAGTAGAATTTAATAATGAAAGTAATAGCTGTAATGTACTGGGGGTGTAAAGGTGATGAATTCTTTAGTGTTGCAGTAGTGGCTGTTTTCACTTTGTGAGCACTGTTTACATGAATCACAAATGGTAACAGTGTCACATTGACAAGTGATCATAGTATGATGACAGGCCCCAGGTTCACCCTTTGAGTTCCTTGTTATAATGATTTAATTTGTCCCTTCTGTTCTATTTTAAAGTATTTAAAGCAATGTGAAAACATTGTGACAGTGTGAAAGGGGTCACTTGTAGTGATGAACCTACAGAGAATTCTCACCTGAATCTGCAGCTCCCCTAACTAGAAACCCACTCCACATTATCTGCCCAGCAGCAAACAGCAGACAGACAAAGTTAGCAACTAGCTGTGAACATAGTGGAGCATTTATCAGAAAGTTATATCCCTCTGGATTTGGTAGAACCAAAAACCAGAGGGAAAAGAGAGCTAATATTGCTAATATTGCATACTCCAAATGAATAATAATGTTCCTCCATTCCTGCCGTTTGCAACTGTTTGTTCTTTTTAGATCTTGTTTTGTTCACATATTCATCCATCACTACCCTCCGCAGGTTCTTCCAACCTCCAGTTCCAGTCAGATGATCACCTTCACCTTCTCCAACGGGGGTGTGGCCACCATGAGGACCAGTGGCACTGAGCCAAAAATCAAATACTACACTGAACTCTGTGCTGCTCCTGGTAATAGGTAGGTCACTGTTAGGCCAGTGAGACATGTCTTAAAGCTGCAGCTAAGGATTGTTTTCATTATTGATTGATCTCTTTTTTTACTAAAACCCAACTTGGTGGCTTTGCGTATCAGGTTTAGTCCAACCAGCAGTCTGAAACCTAACCCCCAAAGATATCCACTGTACAATGATAGAGTGAAAAGCAGCATATCCTCATCTTGGAGAAGCTGCAACAAAGACATGTTACCTTTTTGCTCGCTTTCCTATGGATTGTTTTAGCTCTAAATATCTTGCTGTAAATGTCAACCCCAGTTACCTGAACACAGTTACTTCATTATGTCAATTTTTGTTTTTCTCTCCAACTCCTTGGCTCTCTAACAGTGATGTGACGCAGCTGAAAAAGGAACTGGATGACCTGGTTGATGCCATTGTTGAAAACTTCTTCGAACCAGAGAAGAATAAGCTACAGCCCAAGCCGGAGTAGCACTGATGAGAACATACGATCACATACAGGACCAGCTATGACTAATATCTCTGACCAGCATTTCACATAATGTCTTATTTACTACAGAAAGGATTTTTGATTGAAATACAGGCTTCATTTTGATATACCAATAATTTTAACACAGTTTTTTGCCAGTTGAACCAGAGATACTGTTACCTGCTAATGACTCTGTCTTTATTTGAATAATCTCCAGTGCTTTAATGCAAAATCAAACCTCCACTTTCACTTTGTTTTAGCCTTAGCTTCATTTTGGATTCAGTTTACCTCAGTGCTGGAGATTATAAACCACAACTGTAAAACGTTCACCGGTCTACAGCCAGAGTCCTTCCTGTTGTGTGAGTGTGACATTTACATTGCTGTATATTCACTTGTAACAATTATGCATTCCCCACGCTGCTTTAGCATCAACTGCAAGGCTGCTGATATGAAGAGTGTAAATGAGAACTGCTGGAACAGATGTAACTTTAAACTAACTGTAACTTTAATGGATGTTGTAAACTGCTGTTGAATGTGTAATATCTTAGTTAATGGTGAGGTATAACATTGAAAGTGACGACTGAATATATTCATATATAAGTTTTAAATCCATGCCAGGTCCTGTCATTGCAGAGTCGCTAGTTTGTAAAATGACCAAGCCTAAAAGCGTAGAGCACCACCAAGTGGAGATATTGTAAACTCATGTTTTTCAAACGCACCCACTGCTCATTACTTGACATGATCCGTAGTTAACAATCAAAAGGACTCTTGACATCCACAAATACACCTCAAACTATTTTACTTCCCATCATGTAAGTGATCTTAACTGACTGCTCAGGAATTGTGTAATGAGCAGCTCGCATTTCCTTATGTGCCTCCTATTCCAGAATACTGTGCTGAAATACTCAATAAAAAACGTTTTCTAACAGTGCATGTGGAGACAAATGTAAATGGATAAACACACACACACACACACACACACACACTCCTGCATCCTCCGGCAGCGCATGCATGCTGCATGCACTTGTCATGCCCCATCTGAGTATAGAGACGAAGGGAGGTAGGGTCTGCCTGTCTTCTATATTTAACTCAAACTAGACACATCTCCGGCTGTGTGTAGCTCTCTCTCTTTCAGTGTCCGTGTGTACGTATGCAGTCCCTCTGATATTTACACTACAAGCTTCCTCGGTTTCACTTGACAAGACTATTACAGTGAACAGGTAAGGAGGCTGTGTCGGCATGAGGAGCAAAGGGGAAATAACATTAAACTGATAAAGTGATCTACTGTGCCCTTTGTGAATAACATATATTAATCATGTACGCTTTGGTGTCCGCGCAACCTCGTGCGTAAAAATGACTTGTTCCGTGCGTAAAATTGCAATAACCGATAAAATAGGGCACGTAGGGCTGCTCTCCTCGGAAATAAAATCTCACTTCTAACTTCCGTCGCTGTTCTGGTGCAGCAGACCGACCTACATCGTACGCTGCACTGTCCCAGCTGCTTTAAGTTGAGGATTTATTTATATTGCAAGGTCAAATGTGAGGTACGTAAGCAGCCGCTTTTGTAACTTGACGTGGACGTTTTGGTTCAATAGCTGGTGTGATCCGTTTATCGCCATAACATTTTCCATCATGTCTGATTTTAATGTTTTTTTTCCACACAAACTGTAACGCCGCACCTCTGTACCGGTAATTATAATGTAGTTGACGGTTGTTGATTATGTAGAGCAGGGGAGGTCAGCTGGACATCTATCTCCCCTCTCTGCCTCACACACCCGACTGGCAACATATGATCCTCATAGTTTAACTGTCATGTGTTTGTGTGTCCTTGAGGCTGTAAAAGTCAAGCTATGTCTTTCTGGTTGGGTAAACAACACCAGGTGGTCATTTTGTAGTACCCTACAAATGACCCTGTGACTACTACGCTGCAACACTGATTCTGTACAGGTGACACGGTGGAGCACGCCTGCAGGATTCCTCTTGCAAAAATCGTATATGTCAATAAATGCACCTTTTACATGCCCGTGGCTGTCCTTTCTCCTATTGGTATGTTCCCTTTTCAAATGTCTGTTCTCTACCTGATGTTTTGCAGGTAAAAGCAGAGGCACATAGCTGCCTCCGGCCACACCAGCCATGGAGGGACTCTACTTTGAAGTGAAGCCCAGAAGAGATCAAACCCCCAGGCCAGGAAGCTCAAGCAAACCTCGGCCTAGTTTAACTTCAAACCATCGCTCATGTCCGTCGCTTCCACATCTCACCTCTTCCACACCACGTCCTGAGAAACTCACTTCTGCTAGGAAGTGGGGGACAAAGGTGGATGAAGAAGGAGAGGAGGATGAGGAGGTACGATACAAACTGACACTGATCGGTTCTCTGCCAGTCCACCACCTGACCACTATGGCCATGCTGCCCTGGGTGGTGGCTGAGATAAGCAGGGCTCATCCTGCAGGGAAGGAAATAGGTGCTGGGTGCTCCAGAGGAGGGCAGCTGGACCCTTCTACCCGTAATCAGACAGTTTTTCTGTGCGTGTCGACATCTAGGGTGCGATGTGTGTCCATTCTGGGAGAAGGAGTTGTCTGGGACCCTCTGACACACACACTGCTGTTTGAATGTCGTCCCCACCAGGTTACGAAGCTAATTCACAACAGCCAGGAGCCCAGCAGCTTCGGCTGCCTGGTCAGAGACGCACCAAACTGTGCCTGCTATGTCTTCCAGTGCCAGGACAGCACCAAGGTAGGTGTGTGTGTGTGTGTGTGTGTGTGTGTGGATGTAAATGAGATGACATGAAAATAAACAGTATGTCTTCGTCTGGAGACACGATATACAGGTGTATGCAAAGTAACAAACAATGATGGAAAAGGTATACTTTAAAGTAATAATATCACAATTAAAAACACACAGCTACAAACCTTTTTAATAAGGTGCACATTATGAAAAAACTCTGTTCCAGACCTCATCACTCAAAATTGTGAGTCATATAATGTTGATTACCAGTTGGCAGGATTTGTCCGCTATGAAAAATAAAAATCTGTAAGACAACAGAACTAAAAGAGCTTCAAAAAGGCTCAATTCTCTATTCGCCAACAGCATATTAATCGTTCAAACAAATGCAAAATGATTTCATAAGTCAAGGGGAACAGTCTCATAACTCAGGACAACATATGTCAAAGCAACAAAAGCTCAGCCTATAAAGGTTCACAGAGATTTGGCAGGTCAGATTCGATTGACAAGAGAAACATGGATCAGTCCGGCAACAATCTCCTTATATTAAATGATGAAAAAGCTGCCTGAGCATTCAGTCTGACCGCATCAGTATTTATTATAACATCCCACTAAGAGAAAGTGGACCCTGCTTTGGCGCAGTGCAAGTCCATGGACACACTCCCTTCAACAACATAAACACCAACAAAGATACAAAAAACACACATTCACACACTCTGCTGACCGACACACTCCTGACCTCTAATCCTTTCAACTCTTCTCCACATGGCGTGCTCTGCCAACAGCCTCTGTGCACTGTGAAGTTGCAGCTGGTGTCCGAGTCAAGCCAGAGACATTTGATAGAATCTTCATGCCCAACATACCAAATACTTAAAACAATTCGCTAAAAATAGAGAGATGGAGACAAAGCAGGACACTTAACGGTAAATTAAATTAAGACATCAAAATACAAGCTTGACCTTGAGCTAGGACTGTTTTTCTTGCTCTTCACAAGGCACGTGTGCACAGGCTCAGATTACAAAAACCTGCATAGGTTTCAAATATATGAACAACCAGGATGTACTGCAGGATATACTGTTAATATAATATGTGTGTGTATATATGTATTAATCACTGCATCTACTGTATGTGGTATAAATACACACACCTGCATTGCAAACTTGTATGTGCACTGTTCGTGTGTTGTGATGACTGTGCAGGTATTTCTTCTGCATGTGCAGTTGCTTGAGTGAGAGTTAAATGAGCTTGCTTTACATTAACCAAGCAGGATGCAGAGCCATGTTACTATGGCAACTACTTCCTGTGGCCCGGGGCCTGTTGTGATGTGTTTGCTGTGTGTGTGTGTGTGTGTGTGTGCGCTTGTTGTTCTCTCTCTTTTCAGCCCTTTTAAGAACGTGATGGTGATGTCAGGCTCACCACCTGTTGTTCTAGCTCTGTCACACTAGGCTTAGACACACACACACACACACACACACACACACACACACACACACAGGCTCACTGAATATGTGTGCAACGCTGGGGTAATACTTGTTCTATACTTTGTGAGCTAAGTTCTTCTTTAATATAAAGTTGCATGAGTTGCACTGGCCCTTCAGAACCGAAACCACTCGCACACACAGCCAGATCTATAAACATTTTACACAGGAAACACTAAACCACACACACGCTCACACACAAAATCACACTCTGCACCACGATTACTGTCACTTTCAAGTGGGGGAGGTGATGGTTCAAGCGTGTAGATATTCAGGAGAAGTAAAAATTAATAGTTAAAAGTGACATTTTTCTGCACTGTGTTATAATAGGCACATAATGAGCCCTTTGTGATATTAAATGTGTATTTTTTATCTACTAAAACTAGTTTCTGAAAGATAAAATGTAGAAATATGTGCCAGTGCAACCTGAACTTCGATACAGTAGTATTTGTTCAGTGTGTGGTAGATGTGGTGGTAGACTATGATGATGCTATGTGCTGTATCATTGTTCAAAGGTGTTCTCAACTTCAAAAGCATTACTGGAGTTTAGCTGGTGTTTGTTGTCTGAAAAAACCTACCTTGAAAATAATAATAATATAATATCCAGACATTACACTTCAATTTTAACATTTAATGTATATTTAATTAGTTTTATTGGCAAAATCTGTACTTTTTAGTCAGTTAAGTAGCACATTGTGGCGCACAGGAAAAACCTGACCACCACCACTGCATAGACCTGGAGGAGAGGATGTTATTCCTGTAACATTTTACTTCAACCCACCACCATTTACCATTTATAAGCATATAAACGTATAATAAATGGTTCATAACACAAGCAGATATAAGTGTATGGTCATGTATTTGTCAACAACAATATTATAACACAGCTGTAAATACAATATGTCCTCACAGTAGATGTAATAACTGTCAGCAAACACTGTACACTAATAAACACATAAAAATGTATTTGTTTTCGCTTAAAACTACATTACAGTCTGTTGTAAACAATTTGTTTGTATAATGCTTATAAATGCTAAATATGGGGATGAACGTCAAGTGTTATTTTGATTCCCGAAGTCTGTTACAAATAATGTTTGTGGTAAAAATATTAACATAATTTAAGCCCTTCAGAGATGAAGACAAACTTCCTCTTCTGTGTCAGGGGACAGAAACGGCCTTAGAGGGTCTGTGGGGGTTTTCCTTGCTGCTCCTGGAGTGGCAAAAAAAAAGCAACCACAGGGTGTCACCACTGAAGTGTACAAAGTTCACAATGTTTCTGTGTGAACATTTTATAAATTAATTTGTGTTTGTTGTTGTAGTCCCAGTCAACTGATATTTAACTAACTAACTACTAAAATTATCTGTATGTAATTATTTTTTAAATTTAATTATTACATCTCTGTGGACCCCAGGAAGACTAGCGACCACTAATGTGGATCCAAATTTAAGAATTAAGAATAAAGGCTGTGGAGCTTAACACAAAACTGTGTCAAATGTTGGCCAAAGGCTGAAAGACTGTTGAAAACTTCTGGGCCATGAAGTTCACTATTCATTCCCGGCTCACAGCTGCAGTCCATCCCATGGGGCATTCATTCCTGCTTGATTGGGTCTGCTCTGCCTACAGACAGGAAATGTTGTTTATATTCAGATTGTGCGTACGAAGATAATGGATACACTCTGAATCATGTAACGGTAAAAAAAAAAAAAAAAAACTCAAAAGTCTACCGCCTAAAGTTTGACTGACCCGGGACAGGAACTGTGTCCACCCTGTTCTCTCAACGTATTGGTGGATTCAGCTGCGTCAAGTTAACCGCGATTAAACGGGATAAAATCGGAAGTTGGTCAGTTCGCCTTCAAAACAAAAGCGAGGGAACGTGTAGCGTATGTGGGATAGCCATAGGAATTATAGGAATGATTTTACTTTGAAATGTGTACTGTCGTTTTACGTTAGCCACCTTGACGCTCGACCGCAGGATCCTCGGCTTCAGGGAGGAAAATCAACTTTCCAATGAAATGATATTGAAGTGTCCCACACTGACAGAAACGAGTTTCAGGAAAGAAGTAACCCCTCGGATCTTTTTTGTGCTTTTGTAAAGTTTATGGCGGATGGGATGAAAGCACGACTCCAGCGACTCAACCTGTTCAACGTTAAACAAGAGCAGAAAGATGTGAGTAGAGTTTAATGAAGCGGACTCGGTGGTGGGATTTTGTTTAGTTTTGGGTGCCGTGCTAAGTGGACAGTTAGCTAACGTTAACCGGGGCGGTTAGCGAGCATTAACGTTAGCCTAATTATCGCAACCTGTTGTTAGCCAAGTTCAACAAGTTAGCTGTGGTTAACATTAGCTACAGCTGAAGAGTCCTTACGACGTCTAATAACGTGTTCCTTACTCGTTATTGAGGCAGAGTTAAAGTTTCACCATTCAGTTATGACAGTGTCTGGTTTTAGCTAAATAGTTGACGCACAGGTTTGTTTTTATGTGTACTGGTTGTTTGATAGTGTAAATAACCAGGGAGCTGTATCGTTTCTCGTCCTATAAGTTGGATGTGATGTGGTGTTTTTGGCTTCTGCAGTTTGTTGGTCAAGTACCACAATGTTACCATAACTGGGCAAGAAATCCTGGGTGGAAAATGTCATCACTGATGTGAAATGAATCCTCATGTGCTGTAGGCAGCTAAACAAAGTGTATTTAACTATATATCTATGGATTTGACAGGTAATTGGGTGATGATTTTAGGACCACATGTGCTGTAAATAAGGTTTATTATTGTGCTTCTGCTGCAGACCACAGTGTGTGTGTGTGTGTGTTTGTGTACGTGAACAATATTGTCACATCTTCACTGTTATTAGTTATATATTTAGCAGAAAAGTCTATTAGAGATAAACAATTATCTGATTAATTGATGTCAATCAACAGGAGATTAATCTGTAATTATACATTTGGCAAAAAGAGTTGCAGTTTTACCAAATTTGACTATTTCCAGGTAGTTTTCAGTAACAGTAACTAACCTTCCTTTTGTCATTGTGAGTTAGTACATTCACTATTATTTAGGGCTGCATGATATGGCGAGAAAAAAACACAATTAGTGGGAATGATCATTTTAACATCTGGAGAAAAGGATTCGTAGACCTCTACAGTACTTCATTATAATGCTAATATCTTACATTCATCAAAGCATTGCAGCTTCTCAGATTTGGATATTGAACATGGCCATATTGCGATTTTGATAATATTTTGATGAATTGTGCAGCTCTACTATTTTCTTGTTAGTTCTAGTTTAATAATCAAGAGAAAATAATCTGCAGATCAATCATTTGTATCAGAGAAACCTGCCCAGTGCATCATACTGGGGAGGCTCTCTACTTCTCCTCCTAGCTCAGGTGTTGCTCAACAGGGATTTTGAAATAGTACATAATCATTCTACTTATTAAATATCTCCTTTTCCTCGACTGGAGCTGCTGGTTCTGTTGAACAGTGGCTTACTGACTGTCAGACCCTTTATAAACCTGAGTACATGGAAATCCTGCTTAGCTGT